TTTGCAGACATCTCTGATTTTTTATTTTAATGAAATCTCATCTGACTATTGAATTGACTTTAGCAATCATCCTAAGGCTCACAAGAGCTTTCACTGTCAGAAGCCCTGTCAGATATTTGAACTGCAATTTGCCCCCAACGGTTCCCAGCTTGAGCTAGAGAAATGCTGTAAACATATCCTTTTAGGAGGTGACGAGTCTGAAAAATCACTGCCTGCAAAGACAATGTCTCTGAGAGAAGCTGAGGGCCTCTCCGGCCACACAGTTACAACAGAAAATTTAAGTATCCCCACACCTTGACAAAAACTTTTGCTGCTGGTTTTCTGTGCTTCTCAAACATATCCAAGAACTACTCTGTTGTGTGATTAAGCTGTCCTCTTCGGATGGCTAAGCACCTGGAATCCTCTCCTCATTCACTACATATGTGCATGACAAGTATGGGCTGCAACCATGAAGCCAAAGGAAATAAATCAAATCCCTCTGAGGACTTTTGAGAGCTTCACAGCTATTGGATGGGAAGTAACACAGTTTAAACAATGATACATTAACTAATTATAAATGACAGAATGTGAACCCATGGAATTTCTGTTAATACCAAATGAATTCGTGATGGTTTATATAAAGTAAGAAACTGATAGAAAAGCCTCCATGTGCTAATAATATAGACATTTGAGGAAATTGACTTTGAATGTTGCTGGGCATTATACAAAGAATATTCAATGAGCTGAATCCTGAGGTTGACCCTTCACTATTGTTTTGTTTTAAGCAAAAAAGTCTATTTGCTTTAACAAGAACTCTTTTCAAATAAAGGAAATCACCTCAGATGCAACCCTTATGGATATGTCATACTGTCATGTTCGATATAGCTGTCTGAACCCCTGTATTTGTGATAACCTGCTTCCTGTTGGCTCTCACAGTATTTGCCACATTTCTCCTTGCTTCCTTTAGGTGTCTACTTGGACTGAGTTTCACTGTGTCTAAGAAAGATGATGATGACTGCTCATTACAGAAGGAGAAGTTGTGCTTTGCCGCAGTCCCATTAATCCCTGAAGAAATTTGGAATCAGAAGACAACCTGGCATGGGTTGTATTTCTAAGCTGGCTGTGAAAACCACATGCATCTCAAAGGCCAACCATTTCCCTCACCAGTCCTGTGTGCCACCCCTGCTGACTTGGCAGAAGTAGCTCTGTCGTAAGACCCAACTCTCACCACTCCAGAAAAGTAAAATACTAAGGAAAGCAATGAAATCATTAAAAAGACAGGAAACAGACGAGTGTTTGCCAAATGGAGAAGGGCCACATGACTAGGCAAAGAATGTTTATTTTAGCACTCCCAAAGTCTGCTAAACATAGAGAGTGAAGATAAATGTGAGAGCTATCACACTGAAGTAAGAGAAGTTCACAAGCATCTTTAGGATAGCAACACAAGGGAGGATTTTTGGAGCTGTATGCCTGAGTAGGTTCTGTACCAGCTGCTCTGACCACCTGAACAACGGGGCACTTTGTGGACAAGAGAGTACACACTGAGAAGTGGGGCAAAACCACAGTATCCTTCATTTTGATGGATAACAAAATGCCTATGCCAATGATACCATTGCAACTGTTCCTAGACTGCTCTACACATCACTAGATCTGGGTCAGCATGAAATTAAGGATCATGAAGTAGAATCTGGACATAGAAAACAGCAACGTTCCCTACAAGACTGCACAATATACCAAAACTTATGCAAACAGCAATTTCTGAATAGATTCAGCTTTCTTATTTGACCTTATTCCTTTTCAAAACTTTTAGATTCTTCAAGAGAGAAACTTAAATAAATTGCAAAAACCTCAAATGCTTTGCTCATGTATTTTATAAATTTTCATATTTTTTCTGAACTGATGAAGAGAGTTATCGAAGACTACCATGCTAATTCCTGAATTTCTTCCTGTTTATTGCCCTCTCACAAGTGGCTGACTCAACAGACAACTGAGAAAAGACTAAATAAGTTTTCTCTGAGTGGCATTTTAAGCTGGAGTATTTTAAGAACTGCTATTATGTTGCAGCTGAATATTCCAGCAGACTGTCTGACTCCTTTCTGAATCAGAGTGCCACCAGGCTAAATATTTGCACAAATTCCATGCATTGCCCTGTACATTCTGCACAGAGAAGAGCAATTTTATATTCAGATAAACAGTGGCTCTTTTTGCCAGCATTTGATCTCTAAAAAATGCAATCTTTAGAACAACACCAGAATAGGCAGATTCTATTGTGAAACTAGCAAAATCCACGCTTTCTCAAGATCTTTTTAAGTGTTGTGTGTCTCAATCCATAAACAGACATAAAATTGCATAGACCTCTGTGTAGAGAAATCGATAAATCTGAAATTGTACAGGAATTAAAGGAAAAAAAAAGACATTTCAAAGCCTTCAAAAGATAGATTTGAACCAAAGTTGCTGAGTTGCTCGTAATGATACCAATTGTCTAGGTTGGAATTTTTTGAGACAGAAAGTTGGTACTTCAAACATACAAAAAAGGTCAGTGAAAGATTTCACTGAATCAGCAAAATGCCTCAGTCTTCCAGTCTTTTAGGAAAAAGACAGAAAATTTGAAGTTTATTTATAAGAAAGGAGAACTGAGAAGAAGCAAAGCTATTTAAAAAAGATTACTAAATGTAACTAATGTAGATCTGAATATGTACCTGTGGTATTTGGAGTGGTAGAGGTAATGAAACTTGGCTCCATAACCCTACTTCTCCAGCAGTGTTTTCTAAATTCACTCTTCAGTGATATGCAATCTAAAGAAGACTTATCACAAGTCTCCTTTAAATGGTGGTTAGTAGAAACTCAGACTATTAGGAAGAAAAACACCGTTTTTTCTCTTAATTTGCAACTCAAAACCAAAATGTTGTTTTCTGTTTATTTTGAATAGAAAAATGCTCTCATGACCAGAGGATTGACTTAATAAAACACACCAACTGGAACAAACTTAAAATTCCTTACTGCTTTCTATTTCAACAATTGTTTTGTCACTAGCTTGCCAACTGATCTTACACAGCTTATTAACACCTATAGTTTTCACACGTAGTGAGTACTTTTTATTTATATTGTCTGTGCAGAACAAAATACAGACATTGTCTGATTTTCAGGGCCATGCAACTGAAAACTTCAGTGTGCAGAGATTCAGCATCTTAAAACAAGAATATGGTTTCTCTATAATTCACCCCCAGAATCCTCTTGCAGTTAGCACACAGAAAAATTCATCTTCCTCTACAAGGATTACAAATAAAAGAGAATAGAAATCATGGACTAAACCTCATAGTCACAGCAATGTCCATCTATAAAATGGGCAAAATGCTGATCCATTGTCTTTACAGGGAACCTCAAGAGTGACTATTTGACCATGGTGAAATCTGTCAATTTCAGTGTAACAGCAAGTATTTCTTCTGCCATTTCTCCTTTATGGAGAATGTCTACTACACTGTCAGGCCCTCCTGATGTGGGAACTGGTTGGAGGAAAAGGAAACACCAGGAAAGCAGATGACAGATGGCAGGACATGGAGGCAGTAGTGAAACAGACTGGCCATTTGTCTTGTGTGCCACAATGCCAGTACAATGCCACATGTGAACACTGGCAGCCTTGATGGCAGAAGATGTGTAGCTCTTAGACTCACGTGCTTAGAACAGTGGCAGCAGAGAAACTGAGAACTCAATTACATAATTCTTCAGTCCTGATCACAACACAGAAGACAAACTCCTTAACCCTCTTCTCAGACATAACACCTAGTGAAAGGTGTCCTTTAAATAATAATCCAGAGAACTGACCAACAGTGAAGAGTTGGATTCTTTGACCACTTCCTAAAAAATTGTGAATTGATAGCTGAATGAAAGTGGAAAAAAAAAAGGAGGAAATAACCAGAAAGAGAAAAGGGATTGATCTTTCATTAGTTACTTTCCTGCTGGTAAAAGAAGAGGGTATACTGTAATTTTAACCCAACACCCTCAGTTTAGGAGACAATGTTTTAGAGTCAATTTACAAATTGAAGAAAACAAGACAATTTTGCTTCTATCTTAGCAAGTATTTGTTGTGTCTGTGGCAAGGAGACTGTGGTGTAAGAGAAGGCCAGAGAGGAAAGGGCACTCTCTTTGCCAAGCAGGAGGCTGAGGAGTGAAATTCTTCACAAGTGTGTTCACTTCAACTCCCACTTTACATGCAGACAGGAGAGAAAATATGAGTTTAACAATGCATAGCCAAGATACTATGGAGAGACTCTTCAGTATACAGCCCTTGACACAGACCCACATGTTTCTCTTGGAGCAGGAACAGGCTGCAACTATCAATAGGACAAGAGGACACAGTCTTAATCTGCACCAAGAGAAGTTTAGATGGACATGAGAAAGAATTCCTTCACAGAAGGGGTCATTAGATATTGGGATGGGCTACCCAGGGAGGTGATGGAGTCACTATTCCTGGAGGTGTTTAGTGCATGACTGGACATGGCACTGAGTGCCACGGTCTGGTTGACGTGGTGACGTTCAGCAAAGATTGGACTTAATGATATTAGAGGCCTTTTCCAACCCAATTGATTCAGTGAGTCTGTGAATGTGAAAACAGTTTATAGTCCCTCAGTGCCTCCACAAACACCACTCCTGCTGCTTGACGGAGCACAGGGTCCATCCAACTCCCGCTCCTGTATCTTGAGAACGACAGTGGCGAATACACGACCAGGAGCACGACGGCTGTCGCCACGACACACCGGGCGTTTGTGAGACACCAGGGACGCCATCCACCCAGCCACCAGGGCAGGCTACAACATGGTTGCTGGAGGCACTTCCCCCGCCCGCGGGACCCCTGAGAGCCGCCGGCCCGAGTTCCCTGGATCTGCGGGCTGGGAATCCGCCGCTCCCGGGACGCGCCGCACACACAGCGGTGCTGCGAGGCGACTCTCGCGAGAGCGCAGCGCGCCTCGCCTGCACTCCGCACACACCCGGGCCTCTCGCGAGAGCGGGGCCCGCCGGCCGGCATGGAGCGGCTGTTCGCGCTGGAGCTGCTGGTGGAGGCGCTGCGGGTGGCGGAGCCGGGGCCCGCGGAGCTCCCGGGGCCCGCGGAACACCCGGCCGTGGCGCTGCGCCTCTTGGACTTCCCCACCCTCGTGCTGCGCCCCGCCGCCGCCGCGCCACCCCTGCGGCCGGGGCAGCCCTTCCCCTTCGGCCGCGGCAAGCGCTGCCTGTTCCGCTGGCGCCCGGACTCGCTTTTCGCCGCTCTCCGCCGGCGCCCGCTCCGCGCCCTGCTCCTGGCGCTGCCCGCCGGGCTCGCCCCGGGACCCCCTCGCCTCCTCGGCAGCTGCGCCGTGTCCCTGGCCCCCGCCGCCGAGCTGCTGCAGCGGCCCGGGGCGCCCTCCTCCTGCGGCCGCCGGGGCCGCTTCGTGGTGCGGGACACCGCGGGCCGCCCCATCGGGGAGCTGGTCCTGGGCTACCGCCTCACCATCCTGGAGGCCGGCGAGGCGAGTCCTGCCAGCCCCCGCACTGCCACACCGCCTGCCACCAGCCCTGAACCGCGAGACGAGGAGGAAGAGAAAGAAGAGGAGGAGAAGGAGGAGAGCGAAGAGGAGGAGGGTGAGCAGCTGGAAGGCAACGTCTTTTGCCCTCCGCTGCTCTATTACAGCCGCGAGCCGGCTGAGCCTCCGCGGCCGCCAGCAGCAATGGGGCAGTGGAAGCATGTCGAGCCGCAGAGAGCGCAGAAGGACAAGGACCAGAGCCCACCGCGCCCCAGTGCTGGGCCCTCGCTGCTGCACCCTGCTAGCCCTCGACAGCCCCACAACAGCCTGGTGCAGCTGCCGCTGCTCAGTGCCTTGCTGGCGGAGCTGTCGGTGCTCACCCGCAGCGCTGTGCCTGCTGCTGCTGTCCACCCCCATCTCGCCTGGCTCTACCAGGCCCCAGGGAGTGGGGACGCGGCCTCACGGCCGCCCAGTGGTTCCGCTGCCCTCAGGTCTGCTGAGACACCTGTGGGGCCCGGCAGGAGCAGTGAAGTCAAGAGCCCTCAGTTCAGACAAGGCTGTCAAAAGGCCACCTCCCCAGGGTCTTCTGGGGTTGGGAGAAGCCCCAAAAAAGCTGTACCCCAGGGAGAGTCAGCCTGTGAAAGGAACTGCAAAGCTAAGGAGAACAGACCTCCCAGAAAGAAATTGTTGTATGGACTGACAAATACACTGAGGCTACGGCTGCTGCAGACCAACCCGGATAAGCTGATAATTCATGAAAGGAGGGAGCAGTACAGAAAAAAGCAAATGGGGATGCTGAAAGAGAAAAGCCCCTTACCCAAGAGAAAGCTGGTCAGAAATACTGAAGAAGAACATGTGTCTTGCAGGCATTGTAGCACGGGAGGCAGTTCAAAGCGGAATAATCAGTTGGATAAAATGGTTCAGACTTCATTAGAAAACAGTGCTCTCTCAGAGTCTATTTCTGTGACAGGAGATGTGTCCCCTGGGTTGCAGAAACAGTCTATTCCAAGTCTATCCAGGAACGATTCAATTGCAAGCAAGGAAGGTCCTTACAATATAACTACATCCCCCTTACCGGAGGAAACCATGTTAAAACCTGCTCATGAGGAAAAGCATGCAAAAGCTCACCTCCCAGCAGCATTCCCATCAGATGCTAATGCAAAAAGAAGTTACAATGATGCAATACACTTAGTCCATCATAAAACCGTGGAGCATGATGATGTGTCTGTTGTAAGTGGTCATAAACTAAGCCCCAGCAGGAGTGTTGAAAACAACTCTGAATTCATATACTCTGATGACTTTGTTGCTAGTCCAGAGAACACAGTTTATTCAGAAGATTTCACCAGTGCTGAGTGTGCAGGCAGAGACTCGAAAGTTCTTGACAGCAGTCCTGAACCTCTGTGGCTTGAAAGACCAAAGCAAGATAGGTCAGATACAGAGCCAGAATCCAGCAGGTCCAGAATTTCAAAGACAAGTCAAAGAGCTCAAAGTTCTTCAGATCTTGTGCCAGTTCCTTCAGCTTCATTTCCAGTCCAGTCTCTGAGGAGAAACTGTGACTTTAAAAGCAGCATGGGAACTAGTGCTGAATCTGCTGATTCACTTAACCTTGGTGAGATGGAGGCATCATTATTAGATGAAGAGGAGAAAGCCCAAGAGATGAGTAAGGAAGACAACAGGGGTGATCGACATATTAAAGAGCTATCTACACTGAGAAGCAAACAAGTTAAACGTGGTACTGATCTGAATATAGCAAAGGAGCAGATCTCTGCAGGACAAAAGCAGTCAGGAACTCAAGTTAGCTCTTACTTGCCATCTAAAATATCTGATCTTGAACTCAATGTCCTGGAGAACAGTATGTCAGACAAAGAAGATGATTTTCTAGAAAAACTACATGGTCCTAATCAGTACAAAGACATCAGTGAACTGGTAATAAACAAGCTCCCAGGATACACAATGTAATTATAGGATTTCACTGTCTGGATTAAGATACAATATTTAAACTTTGTAAATCATGTTACATTTAGTTGCGCTATGTGCAAGTTAATTTAAGATTCTATCATGCACATTTATTACATCAGTGACTTTAGTTACGAGATTTTTAAAATAAACTACTATTTGAATCTCTAACAAATGGTGTCTACAGCCTGACTTCAGTGTCAGTATCTTAACACAAAAGTAATTCAAACAGCACATGAAACATAACTTACTGTCAATGAAATGAAAGACAGTAGCAGCAAAAGCAAAAATACCCATAAAAGTAGTCCAGGGTAGAAGCAATAACCTGCTACCAGAACAGCCAAGTACAAAATTAATTCCTACCCAAACAGGTGGTTTTATTCCTCCTGAAAATTTCCAAGCTTCCTTTTCGTTAAAAATAGTTACTTGAAACATATAATCACAACCAGTAGCAACACAGAATTTTATCAGCTAGTCAGTATAATAATGTGTTTGTTTCCCTTTTCCATCACTAAATACAGGGACTGGAACTGGATGAACCCTTTTGGAGTTTCTTAGGTTGAAGTTTCATTTAAGTCAGATTTTCACAATTTCTCATAGAATAGTGTAAGAATTTTTGGTGATAGTAAATGTGTATAATCTGGGAAAGCTTTAGGAGGTGGATGGAAGTTACTTGACCTTGAAGACTAAGGGAGTTCAAGGAGAAGGGAAGAGCACAGTAAATCTTCAATGCTTCACAACTCCCTGATTGCATTCTCTGACTGGGGAAAGAGGTGGGGTCAGCACCCACAGTCCAGAAACTTGGAACAAATGAGCATATTATGTCATGATGTAAAGATGCGAGGTAATGAGAAATTTGCCATGTCTCCTTTGCCATTAAGATAGTTGAACTGATGTTTGCTTTTGATTTCAGGTTTGCTTTTTATAGCTTCCAGTTGAACTGAATGTCTTCTGTTTAACTATGGAGGTTTTTCTAGAGTCCATATGCTGATCACAAATTTTAGAGATGTTTTTTGACTTGAATCCCTGCCTTAATTCTTAGTCGCATCTACCACCTTTTCTCCTCTCTTGGACTAGTTCATCTCCTATGTCAGCTTTACATTCCTAACTATTTCATTAATTAGGACAGTTATCCTCAGGGTTAAAAGACAAATTTATCCACTCCCCTTTTCTTTATAATTTACAATCTGACTTTTTTCCCACAACTTTTTCATTTCTCACTGTAATTTTCCATGTTCTTGACTGCAAAAGCCTATGTTTACACTTTAACATCTTGGAGGAGATTTTTTCCTTTCCCTCCTACTATGTGTTTATTTTGTAGGAATGACAGTACCTCTCCTATTTAAAGCATGAACATCTGTGACGATTATTGGAGTATCTAGTGTTGACTTCTTAAAACACCACTACTAATATTTTTAATCTAAAGGTATACAGCTGAAATTACCTATATAGCAAAGGAATCTCTGGCCAGAGCAATTCCTAAATCTTATTTAGGGTGTCTTTCATCTGCTACAATTTTAGACCAAAATATTTTTTTTTCTTCCACTGCTGTGGACTTCTTTGATACACACGGATTCAGACTGTCATTTATCCATGCCAGCTACTCTGATTTTATTGATGGAGTAATCTCTTGCACTTCTCAGGAGCAAAACTGTCATTAAAATACAATGCTGACCAACCATTTTTACAGTGTGGTTATTTAAATGAATTGCTAATGCTACAAGTGCACAAGTTGAAGAACATTATTTAAGAAAATTTTATTTCGAAAATAAAAGTTTATTTTCAACTCCAGGTGGCTTGAAACTCAAAGGCGAATTTCCAGTCTTTTTTCTATCCCTTATTCCATGTTCACTTTTCAATTTCCAGAAGCAAATACAGTAGAAGCAATATTTCTTTTGTTTAAATAATGGAACTAATCTCTTGTCAGCTAATTTTATTTGGAATAACATTTCTAATGTTTACTGTGTAATAGAATTTATAATTTTATCAGGAGAATGATGAAAATGACAAAAAAAATGCATACTAGGAAGAAAATAGGAGACATTACACTAGAACAAAACTGCAGCATCATGCTTGGATGGCTTAGCTTGTTTTTCCTTTTCAAATATATTTTCCAGGTAGTGATTATTGCATGGAAAGGTTAGCAGATAGTTTCTACCCCCAGGGATAATAGTCTTTTCAGATAGTAATATCTTGTTGTGAAAGTAAATGAATTTTTACTTAACATTCAAACAGCAACTCTCAGTCAACAAAAATGGGAAAGAACTTTATTATTGAAAACCCATAAATCACTATATTGGCAAGAAAGATCAGAGGTTTAATAAGTGATTTCTCTAATGGAGCTATTACACCAGTCGTTCATAAAGACAACCTCTGAACTGTAAGTGCTGAATTGCATGGATGATGTTTGTGCAGGGGATATGACAATATGCTGGGAGAAGCAAGTAATAGTAGCATATACACTGCAATTCTTGCACAGCTATCCCAGAAGTAACATAAATATTTAAGAATGCATGGTCTTATTGACTCATTATATCTAAAAATCTCCTTGCTGCACACTATTAAACAGGAATCTATAGTTACTTCAAGTTTTATATTGTTGTAAACTTCAAACTTTACTACAGCAGAATTAAAGGGTGAGAATTACTTAAACTTACAGATCCTCACTAAACAAAGCCACCTAACTGCTTACTTTAGACTTGTTCCTTTAACAAGATTGCTTTTAATCTGTATATTTTAGAAATAAGTTAGATGAGTATTCAAAAAGATAGTTTCATTGCTTAAATTAAGGGTGGTTTAATCTGCCAAATATAAGTGAACTTTATGTTTTACAACAAGACCCAAACCAAGAAATAAATTCTTAAATCTACACATTAATTCAGATTTTATGACTGTTGCTATAACTGTTTTTTAAACAGTTACTTCAGCATAAATTTATTAAAGTAAAGTTAGGTAGCCACTACTATGTAACTAATGATGCAATGGGAAGAGCAGGATACCAAATACTGGTAGTTTCTGGCACTCTTCCCCTTCTATTGTAATATTTTCTTGTTGCTAAGTACTTCTTACATTCTTATTACTTGATGGCCAAGAACAGTGCTAAGAAGCCAGGTAGGTTTCCTCCATTTCATTTTTTTATGCCTCAGCACTCTGATTAGATGACACAGTTTTTCTTCTCTGTGATTTCTCTGGTGACAGTTCCTACCACCTATTTTACTACTTGTAATCCCTTCATCATTTTGGAAATCCTTTCCCTCAGTTTTCTGAAATTCCATCCAGCCTTTGTAATTGTGGGATTGAACTTTTGACTCGTTTCTTACTACGTCCATTTTTCTAGGTCCCAGTATTTGCCTGGTATTGTAATAATTTTGCTTCTCTTTGTGTAAGTGCTGCTCAGAGTTAAATGCTAATCATTATTTAGAAATCTCTGACTTTTCTTTCATTTTCTCAGCATTTGTCACCAGCATCTACTTTACTACTTCCTCGTCTTTGTCTAAAAAGAAGTCAAATCACTGAATCCTGTATTTACACCTTTAAAAGGTTTTGTTGACTTCTACATGCAGAAACTTCACTAGCTGCTGTGTACCACCACTCATTCAGAGCTGTAGAATGACTGTCCAGAACCGTGAACATCTGCCCATAGTTATCATTTGCCATGGCAGACATCAGGCTTCTCTACCTCTACCAAATCCTGCCTTTAAAACTTTTTTAAAGTTTTGATTTCCAAATTAACTTTTCTTTTAAGATGACTGAGGCCATCTCTGTGAGAACAGATGTTGGCTTAAATTTAATGTGCATTTAGACCTAATGGCAATCACATCTGCTATAGCTAATGTTTGCTACCAGATAGCTGCTAGCATTTTCCATCCTCTCTTTCAGTCAGTATACTTCTCAATTTTAATTTCATTTTTGTTCACACTGAAGTTCTTCTCTCATGTTTAATCCCTTGTATGCATGAAGTTCTGTTATGTTGAAGTCACCCAGACAAGCTGCAACTTCACTGTCTTTTTCATGTTTGGCATTGACATTAAACTTTTTGCTTTCGTTTGGCTTTTATGATTTCATTTGTCTGAATTTTATATGGCAATTGTAATGTAAACCTCCCCTGACTTTACAGAATTGCTCGCATATTCCCAGAAGCGTATTCTGTGTTCTCTATTGTTTTCTAGAGGATAAATTTGAGTGTCTCATGCTGGAGAAAACAGTATTAATCTTCAATTCTGCAGAGACCTCTGCAAATGATTCATTTACCAATTGTTTAAAATAACATGGCTTGGTAGAGGGAGTGATTAAATAACATCTGAGATACATATTGCTCCTAACTAAATGAACATTTAAAGATTGATTCAGGTACAGAGAATAAAAACCCCAAAGCCAAACAAACCCACCTTCCCTCCTGAAACAACAAAAAACCCCCCATAAAACTAAAATGTTAACTAAATCAATTTCAGATGTCTCTTATATATTATTATTCTAATCATAGATATTTTACAAACATTTTGGGTATTACCTTGAAAATTTCCTTGGTGCCTTCATGTTCTCTATTTATCTATTAACAGAAGGTAGTAGGTTTTTAAAAGGAAATAAAGGTATTTAAGTTGTCAAATCCCCTGAAATTCCATGAGAATTAGTCACCTCAAAAATGGTTGTGGAATGGAAACCCATGCAGAGGACTCGAACTGTATTATCACTTGGAATGCAAAAATGTTTTTGAAAGAAGATAAGTCGTGCTTCAACAAATATTTTCAGAGGCATTTGGAAAGTTTAGTGGTATCAGGACTGAAAGAAACTCCCTTGGTATCAAGGATATTCCAGCCCTTTTTCTCTTGTTTTTAACTGTTGGCAGATTCAGTATTTTCCTGTCCCTTATGCTTATGTAGAGAGTACTTAACCTTTGACTCCTCCCTAAATTTCCCTGCCAACAGGATATTCAGAATTTATTTCAGAGACATCTTCTCCTGCCTGCCCCATTATGCCTTTCACCTTGATGCCTTACCTGTTCCAGTTTCTCATCGTGTATTTCATGCCATCTTTAGAATTCATCTTGCCCTACTTATTCAAAAAAACTCCTAACACTT